AAATTCGACTGTATTATAAACAAGACCACTTTTTGATTCCAAGATGATGCTTTTGTACAGAAAAAACAGGATAACTTTTATGTATTTTGATATATGTTATAGGTTTACATTTAACAATCCGTTATCCCCCTCAGCGAATGGGAATGCGGCAAATAATAGGTCGATTTTCTAGCTGTTAAATTTGGCAGCAGATTTGGACGTTTGTTAATGCATGGCACTCTTGAATTTACCAACTTCAATATACTGAAAGTTATCATTACATACCTGTTGAATAGTGTGGATTTGTCTGTATTTTGCAAGAAAATAGAATATAAAATACATTCCATCCAATTCCTCATCTTCCTTTATGTCATATTAATTTATGGGATAATGAATTTCTTCAAAGCAATAAAAACATTATGTCCTCTCCATCCTAAAACACAGATAACATGTGTAAGACGAGTCAATCCCTACATCTCCCTGATGCATAATGCAATTACTATGGACATATATATATGGAAAAATATGAAAAATGTTCCACAGATAATGGCTGTTGAGTTCAAAAATCAAAAAAACTAGTAATGTTTACTGTTTGTCTATTTTTTTTTTACTGGAGGGGATATCTATCTGACACTCGCAGGGTTGCCAAGTCTAACGACGATCACGTCCCGTGGTGGAGGGTGCGAAATGAATCCTTTACATTTGCATTTGCATTTGTTTTGAATTTTTTTCGAGAAAATTTACTAGGTATCATGATTATAAGCATCTTTGGTAGATTGTTCGATCCGGAATGGGAAAGATCTCCTATTTATGAAAATATTTTTGGTATCATCTAACTGTTGCAATCAGTGCACAAACACTGTGACATATGATTTATAGCATAACCCGCTGCCATATCAATACAAATTTAACATACAGGTCGCCTAGCCGTGGGGATGCAGTGGTCGGGATGAATATCACGGCAGCAACTGATGATTTGGGCATGTCTGGTAAGAACGTATGAAGTAAAACTCGCTAACTTCACAAATTTGAAGATTTTGTACAATTTCTTTGAAAATGATGAAAGATATGTCTGATTTGGCAGGGTAATGTCGCAGCCAAATGGCAGTCACTCTTTCTGACACAGTTCGGATCAAAAGATGACGATACTCGTGAAATGTATTGATACTTCTAAATATAGGATCCTATCGAACATCCCTACTGTCAAGATATATAACCCAAGGTGCCGACGGAGCCATTTTGCGGCGTCATGGAAATAATTTCATTTGCATTTTTTCGAGTGTTGTGCAATGATTTTGGGAAAAATGTCACGAATAGTCTTATAAAGCATAGTAGAGTATATTTCAACAGTTGGCGGAACTTACTCCACTGGGACCAGGAGGGTGAAATGGGATATTAATGCACAATCTGGCAACCCTATCGCACCCTCACAAAATGGCCGCTGACAACCACACAAGTCACCGTGTTGTGATTGAATAGCATGGAATTAAACCTTCAGAGTATGTTTTGTGACTGGTACCAAGAGTTGACAGAGCCCACACATGTGTCACTCCTTGAAATGCAATAATCAGCTGTATTCAAATAACGTCTAATATAAATATAACCCAGAATATCTACTCAGTGAAAAAAGAAAAATATTGCAATTTTCTAGTTTTTCTGCAGGTTTTAGGTTTGCTGGTAGCTCTACGACATATATTTGGGTATTTCTTAATCGCTAATATAGTGTGGATATAAGTTCCTGAACAACGAAAAATATTCAACTTTATGGATGTAAGGATATTAAAAAACCAGAATGGTTTTGTGGGAATATCAATCTAAGGTGCCATAATGGTTCTGATGAACGGCAAGTAAATGAATGACACAACAATGCCAAGGATAAATAGGCTCTATAGATTTTGAAAACATATACATGTCAGTAATACGGAAAAAAAGTAAAAATGCTTTCGGGTTTCAAACTCTATGTCTGCAAGAAATACAATCCAAATATGGCAACCGTGAGAAAAACTAGAGTCAATGATGGCGAGCAAGACACGAAACGACGTATTGAAGTTGTATAAGAGGATATTCATTTGCTACTTCTTTTGAAAACACATCTCAAAGCTAGTGAAAACTAAAAAATTTTTGGAATATTATTCTTCCTCTTATTGGGAGAATGCTCTGAATTTCCTCCTGGCATTTTCTTAGTGACTTGAATGCGCAACCCTTGCCCCATTCAAGCAAAGTGCCGAACTTGAAACACGCGGTGACCTTACTTCTATTGAGTCCAAATAATTTTTCCTATCACTCTGTAAGCTCCAACGGATTCCAATAGACTTAAAGGGGTCAATTCTATATGTTTGCATTGCATTATTTGTCACCAAAGTTTTGTAGTTTGGGTGCATACTTTGGATAATTTTCAAACCAAAATTACAATCAGAGTACATTCTTTCCTCTGGAAATGATATTCAAGTAGCAATTTGTACTGGGTATACCCACGTAGAGCAAGGCAGATATACTATCTACTATAATCGCTCAGTTATTGATAAACAAGGATTAAATTAAGTGAAGCAAAGAAACGAAAGTAAATATTTATTAACGGTGCAGTACCTATATTAACAATTCTGTTTAATTCGTGGTTTTGTTAGGTAAACAATATAAAACAGTCCCTCCGTCAGACAGCAATAATGGCGGAATACCTGATATTGGAAATATTTGTCGCGATCCGAGCAGATTCTCAGCTATACGCAAATATCTAGTTGAGCATAATATGGAAATGCCTGGTATTATATCATTATCACTATCGTTATCCAATAAACAGATGTGAAAATATTTTATTTATTTGATGTTCGATGTTTTTTGGCCGTACCGAGCTTCCTCCGTAGAATCTGGTGGCACCAAAATCATATCGGGGAATTAACTAGTTATAACGCAAAAGTATCTTTCTTAAGAGATCCGAGATTCAAAGTTGAAACAGATGAACTTGAATTTTAGTCTAGCTTGTCTAGATTGAGGTTTCGATTAGCTCTTTTCGATATTCATCAAAAAATTTGGTTTTTCTCCAATATTTTGTATTTTTCAATGTTGTTGTTGGGTATGAATGAATGAATGGGTATACAATTCGGTTAAGAAAAGAAATGAAATAAATCAGAATGTTTTTGCAGAAAAGTATAAGCTTGCACTGACTACGTAATTTTGACAACAAACAAATCGTAAACTTGCTGAATTCGTTGGTAAGCACACACCCATTTACCCCTATGCACACTAACAGTAGAAACAGTGACAGCGCAGGCGATGTCGGTAGTAAGAATTTAAGCACTTTATCGGCTTACCGCTCCGTTCCGTTTCCGGCCGGCTCCGGTGTAACTCGGGAGCTCCGAAGGCTGCTCTCGATGTCATAACGCATAACCGCACACCTCGCCATTCGCATCCCTAAAAGCATTTTTGTCGTTTGCTTCCTTTTACACGGGCATACGCTCTACTCTAGCCTCCATCCTGCAAATCCAATTCTCGCTTGGCACTTTTTTCTTGTCGCTACTTGTAGCGGATTCCGGAAACCTAAAATGCATCCGATCACGAATATGTTGTGGGTTTCCGAGCATTAAAAAATATTTTGAGCTGTACGAACTGATCTTGTTTCAAGGTAACAACAGACATATCTATTAAGGTTTTAAGGAGAATGCGTGCGAAGCTGTTACTTAACAGTCGTACACTTGCACACGCATGCATATTAGATAGATTTGAATAAACAAACTGACACGCAAACAGCAGCCGGATCCCTCCTACGAACTATAACCCATGCCCCATGGTATGTCTCACGCGAGACCCTACACAGAGATCTCAACATCCTTCATTTAGAGCAGGGTTTCCCAATCGTTTTTTGTTGAGGCTCTCCGGACTATAAATTATATTTTCATTATTTTCATGCCGCCCGTTACTTTTTCAATAAATACAAAAAAACGCACATTATATAGGTACAAAGACTTTTATTTTAATTCTAATAATGAAACTTTGAAAGTTTAAGTAAACTAATAAATGTTTTTTATCGAAACGTTTTAATAAAATAAGAGTAGGTACTAATGAGACACATGTTCTGTACCAGTTGGTTGATTCTAGGTTCTGCTTTTGACACAGCTATCATCAGGTCGCTATCGACGTCAAGACGATTTCGCTGTTGAGTTTTAATTAAAACTGGAGCAAAAAAGCCTGTCTCACATAAGTAAGTTGAAGAAAAAGGAACTAGTATTCGTAAAGCAAGATATTCAAGTGTCGAATTAACAGGCAATCTTTTGATCCAAAATTTCTCCAATGGTAAAAGATGGAAGTCATCTTTCATGAACGAATCAGCCTTCATTTCTAGAAATTCTTCCTGAAATTCTTCTGGTAATTGTGACACATCGACAACAAATGGAATTCTTGTCATGTGCCATATTGGTGAATTGATGTCTCGATAGTATCGGCGAAATTCGTCTTCCAGCGCCTGCAACTGAGTTTTTATGTCAGCTTTTAAATTTGCGTCCAGTATGTTATTTTTAATTGCTTCTAACAGCCGAGAAAAAGATATAACATGTTCAGAAGACACTTTTTGATTCCAAAGTTGAAGCTTTGATATGAACCCCTGAATATAATCATAATTACTTATTATAGTGTTGTTTCTGTCCTGAAGTTTCAAGTTTAGCTCATTCAAGTAGCCATCTCTGAACATTGTCAAGAAATCGTATTTTCCTTTGAACTCAAGAAAAAGAATTACCTCTTCTTTCAATTCATAAAGGCGAGTCAACATGTTGCCTTTGGACAACCAGCGTACTTCTGTACGGAACAGAAGTCCTTTGTGATCAGAATCGAGATCCTCGCAAAGTAACGTAAATAACCGGCTGTTCAAAGCGCTGCTCTTGATGTAGTTTACAATCCTTATAGCCGAGTCCAAAGTCTGGCGTAATTTCTGTGGCAATGTTTTGGAAGCCGATAAATAACACAATGTCTACTAAGCATTGAGGGATTTTTTTCCTTGGGCTTTTTAGCTATGCTGTGCAAAGCCCAATGAGTTTCTTCCAATCATCATTTTTTTCAACAAAATTTGATATTGAATTAAATATATCTTCGGATGTAGTACCTGCTATAAAAGATTGGGAGTTCAAATTCTCTTCTTGAATGATACCTCCGCCGATGTAACGAACATAAACTATTAACTGTGCACAATTAACGATGTCGGTGGACTCATCGCAAATAATTGCAAAAAATGGCGATCATTTTACTTTGTTAATTATTTGTGACTTTATGTCTGCTGCAATGTCATCGATTTTAAGCTTGACTGTGTTATTCGAAAGAGAAATCGACTTCATTTTTCGCTCTGCATCTTGAATTATCTGCGTGGCTTTTAAGATACATGGCTTTATTACTTCTTCACCGATAGTATGAGGTTCCTTTTGCTTTGCTATCATAAAAGCTATTTCAAATGAAGCTTTGAGATGCAGCGATACACCTGTGTGAGAACTTCCCGATTTATCCAGTCTCATCCGCTTGAGTGATTCTGCTTTAGTAGAAAAAACTCTTTCGTCTTCAGAGGCGATTGAGCCTCATTAGTTAAAACTTTCATGCATATGATACACTGAGGCAATTGTAACTCGTCTTGTTCGATGAAGGTATATCCAAACTTAACGTAATCTTCGGAAAACTTTCTTTTTTTCGCTGCCGTTTTGCACCTATAACAGCAAAATAAATAGGTAGTAAGTAAATAAGCAAAATATCTACATTTAATTAGTAATTATATGCCCATTATTTTATCTTAATAACGTAATGTATTCAACAGTATATTGCCCACCGGGGGATTTATATTTTTGTAGGCAGGTTGACATTATAATAGTAATTTTAAATACATTTGGAATCAATATTAGGTACTTAAAGTTCGTCGTTTCAAAATTATTTCGCCACTTTGGTTTAATTATGATGTGGTCAGAAAATCCCAATGGCCGATCTATGAACGCGTCTCCACTCAATCAACAATTTAGTAAATTAAATAAAAATGGTAACTGAAGTTCGTAAATACACAAACAGATTTCTCAACAAAACATGTACGTACATCGAAACGTAATTTTTTTTTTCGCAAGTTTGTGGGAGTGAATGTCACAGATGCTCATCCGCGTCTGGTAGGTACACAATTGTTTTCTAAGTGATAATGTTAAGCGGAGCGCGGCGGGTGTGCGCGCGGATTTCATGTTGTGACTTGCCGAAACTTGTACAAACTGCGATTGACGACGCCGGGTTTTGAAACAGCGGTTGACACAATAAGTGAATATGATATTTAATTTCTAATTGTATGCCTGTAAATTAAACATCACATTGTAATGTTATTTGTTAATGTTGATTATTTTTTAGTTTTTTTCTTTCTAAAATGCAAATGCTTTTCGCCCCCCTTGACATCTCTCTATACCCCATGGGGAGGCGCGCCCCCCTGGTTAGGAACTCCTGATTTGGAGGATTACAACAGGAGCAGCAATGTTATGAACGAGCAGAATTGCATTGTTGCGCGAGTCGGTAGACTCTATAGTGGAGCAAGTTCGTAAACTCTCCCTGGCCGCGGCTCGCACTGTGAACAAAATTGAATCAGACAATTTCGTATAATACACATATAAAATAATATCTGAACAAAACTCCAACAAAATTATTTTTTGGCATTCAAAACCATTACAGTAATTTTCAACGATACTCTATCAGTTGTACTTCTTACTTTATGCTCTCACTCTTTTTTATTTATTCTTGTTCTGTTTCTGTCTATTTTATCATGTCTGGTATCTGAGGCACAAAGGCAAAGGTCCAACGGACCGCCTTGACAGACATTGACCAGTAGAAAGCATCTGGAACTGTCAAAAAAATCCATTCGTCATGCACGTAACCTTCTAATATTGTTTATATGTGTATGTCAAAACATAGCTTGTTTGACTACGATTCTGACACGCAGTATTCACTAGACGTAGCTTTCCTTTGAGCTACTTTCTCATAAAATTTCACATCGCTCCGATACGTTAGTGCATTCCATTTGTTGAAGCAAACTGAGATTCCTAAGTTTCCCCCTCACCCCTGAAGCACGTCATTCTCGGTATCTGCTTCACTTGGACTTTTAGCTCACTTAACTGGATGATTGGGTAGATTATTTATTGCTATACTTATGTATCTTCTGGCGATTGGCAAATTTTGATTGGAGATTTTTCGAAACTTTAGGCTTCAAATATTTTGATTTGTACTGATTCTTAGTAAAAATGTTCACAAAATGCGAAAAAATTATATTCGCAGGACGTGCTCCGTTATTGTGAGGTGGAAATCTCACTTGACGCCTGAGAAAAGTCACTCTCGTCACTTATACGGCGAGTAGCTATTGTACCGCTACTATACAGGGTGTTTCATAACTTATGCGATAAATTTTCGGCGCACTCATTCAAATACACCACCGTCCTGCTGTGCCTGAAGGTTCATATTATCGGTAGCCAATGTGATTCGGTCACGCAATTCTTCAATATTCTGAACTGGAGCACGGTATATCTGCTTTTTAAAGTATCCCCATAAAAAGATGTCTCCAGAGGACTTAGATCGAGAAACCGTGGAGGCCATGCAATTGGTCCACCCCTTCCGATCCAGCGTATCTGGTATACCTGATTAAAAAAATCACGAACTTCTAAATGAAAATGCGGAGGTGCCCCATCGTACAGAAACCAGATCCGTGCTCGACCGCCAATGCACATCTTCAAGAAGGACCGGCAAATCATCCCGAACAAATTCCAAATACTGGTGACCATCCATCCGATCTGGCAATGTGAACGGTCCAATTAGGCGTTCATCGACAACGTGCAGTAACCACATCCGTGCTAGGACCGCCAATGGCACATCTTCAAGAAGGACTGGCAAATCATAGCAACGTTTAAAGAAAAACGATGTTGGAAGTGTGTCTGGACCAATGCGTGAGGATTCTCAAAGGTCCAGACGTGTGTATTATGAAGATTGGTTTACCCCATTACGAGTAAAAGTAGCTTCATCGGTAGCCAAAATATCAGCTGTAAAACGGGCATTTCGAGCGTTTTCTTGCAACAACCACTCCTTGTGCTTATTCCCGGATTTTCTTCCACAATATCCAAATCTCCACTAGCACGTGCACGTAAAACAATTGAACTAAATGTTTCGTGATGTGGTATGTGCCTATTCGGAAACCGGTGTACATACAAACGAGAAGCCGCTCGCGAATTTTGCTCTGCTTCTCCGTACGCTAAAACAATGTCCACTAACTAATCAGTAGTGTACACATGTACCATTTTTATTAATAAATAACTATAAACATAAACTCGCAAAATACTTTCTTACTTAACTTCACAAAAATCGACTGTTCTTCATTCAGATCACCCACGATACAGATTAAACCTTATTTACACGTTCTTATCAGTATGAAAAAACAAAAAAATCCTGGTATTTTGTTTTCGTCAGTTGTTTGGTACAACATTTGCTACAATAAATTATTAATGCGTATTCTAATATCATGACGATGAACGCAAAATACAGATATTTATTTCTCAATTTTTTACTGAAACTTAGGTTTATAACTTAATTACCGTAGGACTTTTATTACATTTTTTTTTTTTTTGGAAATCAACTTCTTTCGTAAAAATGCATGTGTGGTTAAAATTTGTTGTGAAACACCCTGTACAACTTAACCCCAGCCTTCAGGTGTCTCTCTCCTGTTGTCAAATAAATCCACACCCAACCACAGCACGCACGTGTTTTGTCACCTCGCTAATGTTGTTTGTGTTAATTGTGTTACAGTTCCGCCCCACCAGCTGCTCATCTACGACAATTCCGGTAGGGACGTTTCCGGTGTGGTCGGACCTCTGGAAGAGAAGGCGGACTTGGTGCTTACGTGCGAAGTCAGGGGAGGTAAGTGTCATACAGTAATTATATTTTACAGGTCTCAAGACACCCAGATTAATTGTATCCCCACATATTACCTCACATAAAGAAATCATAAGTGGTAGTTTAATTACGTGTTTACATATTTCACTGTTAGGCCCTCAAAACATTCGACTAGTCCAAATGTCAGGCCCCAGACCGCAAGGTTCTTAGATCTATTTCACAGTCGGTCGTCAAGGTCAAGATAATGTAATCCTCTCGACCATTGGATTAATTACGTTTCTTATGTACTTGTATATAACCCTTAGGATAATTACATTCACGAAATATTCCGTAACTAATTTTCGCAAAAGCGAATATTCTCATGTTTCCTGATATACGCATTCTTATTCGCATTCGCGAAATTCATGCAAATACTTTGCGAATAAGAATATCACAAAAAGAGAAGATGAATATTCTGACACGATTTTTCGGCCACCACGGAGGTCTTTTTGAAGTACAAATGACAATTATACGTTACTCCAGGATAACTTTGTCATCACGCAAAATTTTAACAAAATCGGTTCAATATTGCCTGAGATACGTGATATTAGAGATTTGACGTGTTGAGATAAATCACCTTACACTAAGAAAAGATGTAATGAGCCAATTAAAGTTTTAATTTGGCCAATTAAAAAAGCTTATTCAATCTATAAAACTAGTTTAAGTAAGCCAAAACGCTATTGTTCAATTACATTTATTAAACCTTTTACTTAGATTGAGTTGACCAAGTCACTGAAAGTTAATGAACTATTGAAATGAGTTTACTTGCCCCTAGTAAAACATTATATTTACTAAATTTGCTTAATTGGTTTAGGTAAAAGCATTTACCTAGTTTTAATTAATTGTTTTATTTATATTTAAAAGGATATTTGAATTTGAATTGCAATTTGAAAGAACAAATTGCGTTTTATTGAATGATTTATATTATAGTTGTGCTCTTGCAAATCATAGATATCAAAAAATTTTGAAAACTTGATATCATTACTTGATGCTTTTAAATCAAAATAAAGCTTTTATAACCCTAACAACATTCGATATTTTTTATTTTGAATGATGATGATGATAAACTTATAGACATGGCATCCATAGAAAGATTCTAATATATCACCATTCACTAGAAGCAATTCTTTATTTTAAATTCAGAAAGTAGAAAAAGGGATACCAGAAACTGAATGAGGCCTCTTGGTCATGTATATAGATATTGTGCTTTTATTTTTAATAATAAAGCAATATTGCACTCACCCGAACTCAATGCATTTATAAATGAACTCGACATGACTTTAAATGTTTTAAACACTAAAAGGTCTACACCATCCTGGATAGACCTGACTCCTAACCTAATCGAATTCATTAGTGTGTACCAACGTAATATTCCTACCAACCATTTCATATTAACCAAAACATACTGCCCCATCCACTGGCTCTTCCAATCTCCTCCCGCATAGAAACATGCCAACGCGGCCCTCTGAGACGCACGCATGGACGGATAATCATATACACCGTTAACGCTTCCTCAGCAGTAGCAAAAGGAAGAATCCGGGACAATTCCAGTGCAAACGGGCGCCTAGGGAACAAGCCGACTCCCTGTATTAAGGGGGGCAATCTCTCAGAGAGCTTCTAGCTTCTCTTTCCTCTATCTCTTATCCTGACCCTTACATTGTGCGATACCTATACGCAGGAGGATGTACATGTTGATAGTACGGGGATACTAGGTGCGTCGAAGACCTTGATTGACTATCTGAGGTAGCCCAGGATTCTGAAAAACATCTGGACCTGTATCCTGGTCTATTTTCTTTTCACGTCTAATACTGTGCTGAAGCTTCTAAGAAGGAAAAAAGGCTTTGCAAGCCAGAACTCCTACAAACAGCTAACCAAAGCTTGACGCATCTTCAGCCCATATGCTAGAAATGCAGAAAGCCCTTACGACTTTGGCCTACCCTGAATTACTATTTCCGTGCTATGAACGGATAGATGTCGTTCACCACCATTTAAAGGATATCTCGTCAATCAGCCGAAATACGAGATATGCTCAATGTTACCAGCAATATCGTATTGTGCAAAATTGCATAAATAGACAATGACTAAACTAATTCCGCTAGCTTCCCGGTTCTGAAAGCATGACGCACCGCATACAACGTACATTATTTCATGCCTTTTAGAAATCATCATTACGAAGATGTAAAGGGTTGTCCAATAGGGACGCAGGAAAGTAAACGTCAATTTGACATTGACGCTATCTTTGTTTTCTGTCACCGACATGTCATTTTGTTAGTTGAATGTTTACCATTGATCGCTATGGAGTCGTATTCGACTGAAGACCGAATTAAAGTTATTCAAGAGCACTACAAAAATGGTGCAAAAATAAAAAACACGTTTCGCGCGCTTCGTGAACATTTCGGTCGCAACAACCGCCCAAACGAAACAACCATCGGTCGTCTGGTGCGTAAATTCGAGGCAACAGGTTCTGTGGCAAATCTGCCAGGCTCTGGCCGGCCAAGGAGCGTTCGCACACCGGAAAATATTGCTGTTGTGAAGGAGAGTGTGAGAGACGATCCGAAACAATCAACAACGCGTCGATCCCAAGAATTGGGCATTTCGAGAACCAGTTTGCTCCGCATTCTCCACAAGGATTTGAATGTACACGCCTACAAGATCCAATTGACGCAAGAGCTGCGTCGGGCCGACCATTTTTCGCGCCGAACGTTCTCAGATTGGCTCCTTGAACACCGCCAAATTGATGCCAATTTTTCATCAAAAATCATGTTCAGCCACGAAGCGCATTTCACTTTGAATGGGACGGTAAACAAGCAAAACTGCAGTATCTGGGCGAACGAAAATCCCCGTGAGTATCAAGAGCAGCCGATGCATCCTCAAAAAGTGACTGTGTGGTGTGCATTGTAGTCAAAAAGCATCATCGGGCCTTAATTTTTCGAAAATGCGGCCGGGGACGCCGTTACCGTCAATTCTGAGCGATATCACGTGATGATAGAGGACTATTTTTTGCCGCAACTTGAAGGAATGGTATGGACGATGTTTATTTCCAACAAGACGGTGCAACATGCCACACAACCAACGTCAATATCCATCGATTGCAGTCCTTCTTCGGTGATCGCATGATTTCGCGCAGAGGAAATGTGCCATGGCCACCAAGATCGTGCGATTTGACTCCCTTTGACTTCTTTTTATGGGGATATTTGAAAAGCAAAGTCTACGTCAACAAACCAGCTACCCTCCAAGAAATCAAAAACAACATCGCCGAGATAAATGCCATAAAACCGCCCATGTTGCAAAATGTCATTGAAAATTTCGACCATCGCGTGGACGTCTGTAAATCCAGTCGTGGTGAACATTTGAGCGATATTATTTTTCATACATAAATGGCATAAATGAACCTTCAAAATAAAGTACCCAACTTGATTTGAATATCAATCTTTCTTGTTTTAATATGCGTTTACTTTCCTGCGTCCCTTTTGGACAACCCCATATGATGAGTTTTTTAGACTATTCCCGCTTGTCTACTTTCTGTTTGCTTCTTTCCATACGACTAGGCCTATACCGTTTGTTAGATGATTGTTAAAAAGCGTTAAAGAACATATGCAGTTGGTAATGGTTACAGAGAAAGCCAACCGATTCAGTCAGCTGCAAAATCACCGAGTTGATGTATCTAATCACTTGGTGTATATCACATGCTTAGCAAACCCTGACGAACTTGTTCTAGTTTGCGCAAACTTGCCACCCCTCGCGACCGATAAAACGGCAAGGTTATTACGTAAAAAACCTATATAATGGCAAAAAATTGACAAAATGTTTGCTCACTATGAGCGCTGTTAGTGTCACCAAAAGCGTCATTTATGGAGGAATGGGAATGACTCAACGACTGGCTCATTGACCATGCTGCAAGCTCGTTCCCCAACATGCTTTGTTGGTTGCAGAATGCCGAGATTGTCTGTAGAATATATCTCTGAGACGATGTGAGAAAATTGATTTAGTACAAGATCGCATCTCAATGATTGTGTATTGGTCTGCATGTGTATAAAATTAGGGATATCTGCTATGTGGAAAAATTATTACTGAATATGAGAAGTATATCCAGTAGCTCTACCAGACGGGTTATTTGTGTTGTTCTTTCTGAAGGGAGGTTATGTTCAAAGTTATAAATTACGATTTCTCCAGGTTTTTTGCGTTTTCAAAAACTTTACGGAAAATCACCACCGCGCCCACGCTGGATGTAATCCAGTCATATGACAGAAAAAATAATAATAATTAAATTAGAATCTCACACAAAACATTTTCGCAGTGTCTCACATTTAGGCGCTGATTAGTATCTTCTACCTGACATCGCAAAATAAATCTCTATAAAATTTAAATGACTTAAAAGTTATATGATGTAATAACTTTGTCACGTTTCATGAATATTTCTGTCTGCAGCATATTTCCTCAACTTGTAATAATCTTCACCTACCATGGATTTTTTTGCAAATCTCTTTGTCACGTTTCATGAATATTCCTGTCTGTAGCATATTTTCTCATCTTAAAATATACTTGACCAACCAGGGATTTTTTCAAATCTCTCTCATCTTTTGAAATTCAGCAAACTTGTATATGTAATTTCTAGGGTGACTGAGTAAAAGTGGATGTGCAATTAATTTCTAGCTTTGCATACATCTAAGTAAGTGTGTTTGAAACAAGAAACCAATGGAATTATCAACAACACATTATTAGCACACAAATCCTCGCTCTGCACCTATGCACTGCCGTTTTCTTCCGGCTACAGTATACAACTTACAGCTTAGACCTCTAATAACGCCATCTCTGGAGAAGATCTTACACCTCATCAGAGCCAATCATTGATAGCTGAAGCCTCATGACGTTTAGGCAACACGTACCGCTACAGAACGAGTCCACATCAAGTGAATAACAACTAGTTCCAAGTTAAAGAGAGAAAAACCTACATAATGTCACAAAAAATCTATATAATGTCAAAA